GTTAAGTTCTAGGCTACGTCCAATCAGTTAAATAATAATTCTAGCCATTATGAGTTGGCTGTATTTTAGTTTATTTTTTATAAGCGCTAAACGATCGTATTTTCATAAGAAGAGTATAGATTTAAATGGGGCGGTAACAACTAACTTGTTGTATGCCAGTATGTTTCCACATTGATTTACAATATCGGACACTGGCGTGGCTGAGATGCTAGCGTACCCAGCTGCAGAACAAGAGATTCAAGGTTCTATCCACGATGCGCTGAACACAGTATGATATTTCAGCGTTATAAGAGTGATATTCAGTTTCATTATTCGACTCAAAGTAAGACAAAACTTTCGTGAAAATTATACCCAAACCTTAGGACCTCTGATCTGAACACTTATCCAAAGTTGAAAATACAAACACTTACAATATCATGGTTAATTTAACACTGTAAACATTACTGTATCAATAACGTTGCTTCCCTTTAACTTGCATATTTTATCACTCTCATTATCACACTTTATTAAGTACAAGCTGAGGTACCCGTCATTTTTCTGGATTATGAACTTTAAAAAATGTGGATTGAATGCTAGGATAAATAAAACAAAAATCCTAACTGTCATACAATTTGTTTATAGCATATTATTACAGTATTCATTATTACTTCACCAGACGTGTTGCATAAGCTTTAAGAACTCAATATGTATGTACTTAAAACATGATATACATTATACGATGGTCAAGATGATTTTGTAGAAAGAGGTAGCTGCCAAAGTAGTGGCGGTTATGGTCCTTTCAGTTATCCGCTTTCAACACCCAGCTCTTAATGTTCTTCCACAGTTTCACGTTATTAATTAATTGACGGTCATTGTCCGTAGAAGTGTCTTATGGGCCGAAGTTGTAAGGTCACGGGTCAAAGTAGGAAGTGGCTATAACTCAAGAAAGGGCTCTTCATATCAACGTTATGATGGCTGTTGTAGTAGAAACGTCATCTGAGTTAAGTATTATTGCAATAGTGGCTGCCATTTTTTCATTGCACTCCATGGAGAGTGTTAGCGCATTATCTGAGTGCCCTTCCCACTTACTGTGTATATGTTGTGTTATAGAAAATTAAATAAAGCTTTTTTGTCAAAGATAATAAGTGCACAATAACAACAATCATGAGGGATAGAGGTGGTTGTGAACCTGCTATTAACATGCTCGTTGTTCCAAACTATCATCCCACAAAGTTTAGTTGAGATTGGCCCAGCTACCTAGGATTAGTTATATAACGGACAAACAGACAGACACACAGATTATTGTGCTTTGCATATATATAGATCTGTTAACGACTATTTCTTCAAAATTAATTGCAGCATCAGGCAACGTTATTGGTTATTGACCAATGTATTTTTAAGTCAGTCACTAACGTACATGAAAAATGAAGAATTACATTAAGTTGCTATCACAAACAAACTAACGCATTAATTTAATTTTTATAAAAAAAAGGCGAACTAGTTCCAATACATCCACAAAGTTTTAAAGTTTGTAAATCTACTTCTTTTCTATTATTTTTTTCCAAAAAATCACAACCAAAAATACCACTGACAACAAAACTCTGGGTTTCGATACCTATGGTGGGCAGAGCATAGATAGCCCATTGTGTAGCTTTGTGCTTAATTACAAACAAAACTCTTTAGTGTTTTTCTTGGCAGGAAGTACCAGATTAAAATTGTTTGTTCGCGTTGATAGTTTATCGATTAAATGTAATAAAATTACATTACAGTAGATTTTTAAATCATTCAAAATATGTTTTGTTTAATATTGAATGAAAGGTTATCACAAGAAAATATCCATAGAATAGGATTCAGTGTATGTGTGTGTGTGTGTGTCCAGTAACTTCTCCTAGATGCCTGATGGCTCGGCATGGCCAGGTGATTAGGGCGCTCGACTCGCAATCTGAGGGTCGCGGGTTCGAATCTGCGTCCCACTAAACATGCTCGCCCTTTTAACCGTGTGGCGTGATAATGTGACGGTCAATCCCACTATTCGTTGGTACAAGAGATAGCCCTCTTGTAGCTTTGCGCGAAATTAAAAAAAACAAACCTAAACGCCTGAACTCTCCAACTTCGAAATGGTGTCAAACGAATCTCCTCAACCCTGAGGTTTGAAACAAAAGTAAAACTTTTTACCCAACCCCCTTAGGAAACCCGGGCATTTCACGAAAATAATTTTATGGGGATTTCCCAAAAGCGGACCATAAATTTGGCATTGACTTACATTAGAGTACATAAATAAGTAGGCCTACTAACTGCCGTTCGTAGCTTGGTTAAAAAGATTAAATTTGCATTATAGCGGCAATAATCATTAAACTGAAAAGGTGCAAGATAATAGTTCAAATATTATACTTGCATTATAAAGGCCCTGTAAATGTGGGCCACATGCCCACGTGTTCGCTAATTGTTTTTTTTTCCCCTTTTTTTGTTTTTGAATTTCACGCAGAGCTACACGAGGACTATCTGCACTAGCCGTCCCTAATTTACCAGTGTAAGACTAGAGGGAGGGCAACTAGTCATCACCACCCACCGCCAACTCTTGGGCTACTCTTTTACCAACGAATAGTGGGATTGACCGTCACGGTATAACGTCCCCACGGCTGAAAAAGCGAGCATGTTTGGTAGGATGGGGATTTGAACCCGTGAATCTCAGATTGCGAGTCGAGCACCCTAACCACCTGACCATGCCGGACCTAGTGGTTTCTATAAGTTCTTTTATGTGATATTGAAACCAGGTGTTCTACACTCAAACTGGAGCAGTTTTATGTTATTTAACTGCACGAAACATATCAAGCCTAGAATTTAATATGTTTAAATAGATTAAAATTTCAGTGGATAGTTTTAAATTTTATTTGATAAAATAAAAATGAATCGCGAAGTGATGCGGAACCACTTAATGAAACACATTTTATTTGAAGTCACCCAGCCATCTGGAAGATCGAGCTTTTTTGAAACTCTTCCACAATTACATAAATTTACTCTCCTCTACATGCACAATTTTCTCACATTATATAGAAATACAATTGGAATTTTTCGGAGATGGCATAACGTAATATTTCCCTCATAAATGCTGTTTTCCTATCTCGGCTTATGTTACAGCGTGAAAAGCTATAACGGACGACAAGTGTCTGGTTATTACGTCGAAAAATTCTAACAATATTCTGTTATAGTGTTATTTTAACAATAATTTGAAACACTTGGTTCAATAGCCTGCTTTCACTGCAATAGCCTTTTGTTCCAAAATATCAAAGAAAGTAACAAAAAATTTTCATTTTAGATATTCCAAACGTTCTCTTAGCATGATATGTGTTTAAATATTTCATTTTATTCTTATAAACAACTAGGATGAGGAGTTCTGATGTTATTTTCTGGATGACCTCTGTAAAGTCCCCCAGTGGGTCAGCGGTAAGTTTACGGACTTACAACTCTAAAACCAGGATTCGATTCTCTACGGTTGGTAGCCC